AGTATCTTAAATGAGTGTCCTTTGTTGTTGAATGAATAACAAAAACATTTTAGATTGGAATTGAACAATTAGAAGCTCAAAGAAAGAAGATAGAAATCAAGAACTGGAAATTTTGTACACAAAGAAACAGAGCCAACCTCTGTTTTTGTAGGTTATTTATTAATGCCTCAGGTTTTTAGCTTTACTCATATTAGGTTTTGTCTGATATTATGCTTCGAATGAGGAAGAAAACATGAGTTTACGGCGTCAAACACGCCATTGATCTCATCAGTGAGTATCAATCTCTAGAATGTGTTTTGTGATTATTCATGGATTAGAAATTCAAACAACATTTAGCACATACTTTATACATAAAAAGTTCGAAAAAACTCACAAATGGTGTGTTTTTGGTTTGTATTCAAATTTTCATCGTGTAGAGTAGTTATAAAAAGTACAAACTCACGAATAGTTAGTCTTTTTCTATTCAATTCTCATCGTAGTAGAAGGGCAGAATCTGCGTTCTCACAGACAATCGAATACTGATATTATGCATAGAGTCACTCCAAGTCAAGCTCCCAAAATAGTAACCTGTATTGATTTTGTGTGTGGTCGAGACTCTCACTTTGAAAGAGATCCTTTTGGTCCTTGAATTGAACACTAGCTTCTTCGGCGTCACGGTCACTTGAACGCCAGATGGTGGCTCGACCGATACTTTATAGACCGACTCGAGTGGTCCAACATTAGTGAGGGTTCTAGTGAGAGTGACTTCTTCTTTGAGGTTTGGGATTGTGATGGAAGGCAAATTAAAATCAAGAACTGATGGTTTGGGGTTCGAGCAGACTGTTACTTTTCCCACAAGCTGAGAGATTGATGAGTCGTTGTAACCAACAGAGCACATGTAGAGAACATAGTCTTCAAGGCCCAAGTCATATATAAGACCTGGTTTTGCCGCTTTCTCTGGATTCACAAGGCCACCACCATAGTCGAACGGATCAGCTAGCTTCCGAGGTGACCCTTCTGCAAAAATCTGCTCTCCAAATGGATCTGTTCTCCAAGCTACAAAGAAAAGCACTTATCGAGATCAGCTAGCTTCCGAGGTGACCCTTCTAGTGTTGGTTTTTTTATCTTTACTTTTTCTAACAAATGGTGAAGAAGATAAGAACCTGTAGTGACAATGGCTGATCTAATAGCGGCAGGAGACCAATCACGGTGCAAAGATTTGAGAAGAGCAACAACTCCTGAAATGGCAGGAGTCGCCATCGATGTTCCTGACAAAAAGATGAATCCTCGGTCGTTGAAAGTGGTATTGGTGGTTGTAGCCGCCAATATACTCACTCCTGGTGCTGCTATATCCGGCTGCATTCATATTTGATAACATTTTAGGCAAGATAATATAAAAAAAAAACAGAACATGTAACGATTCTGACTTACTTTGAGGATCGCAGCAGAAATCGGATTAGGCCCTCTTGATGAGAAAGTTGCCACCTTTGTACCAACTGGTTGTCCAACAAGTGTTCTAGAAGTTTGTATATTCACAACAGGCGATCTGCGAAACAACAAAATGTTGCTTATTTGCTTACTATTCTAAAGTGGTGAAGATCTTAGTGTATATAATTTCTACCCACTAGAACGTATGTAAAGAAGAATATTGGTCCCGAGCTCGTAGTCAACAGAAACACAAGGGAAATCATCTAGACATGGTTTGAGAATGTTGCCTGGCTGTCCTGCGATGATTACGCCAAGACCACCGGCTCTCTTCACATAGCCAGCAGCCTTCGATACAGAAGTATCGTAAGGTGGTGTTGTGAAACACAACACGACTTTCCCCTCCATTGTATGATTAGGATTAATGTTAAGACGTTCACATGCACTGGCATTACAAGAACCAGAGTGAATTCAGAGAATTGATCTTCTTACATATTGCAAGATTTTTCCTGATAAGAAACTTAGAGATTTGATATTACCCAGAAAAATTTTGGTTGCTATTCCCTGGATTCTCAGGGTAAACCAAGCTAATGAAGCCAAGTTCTTGACCTGTATAGATTGCTTGACCCTGCAATATAATTACCAAACTCACAATAAGACAAAGATCATCAAACATTTGGTGATTAAAATGTTTTGAAAACAATTAATGGTACCAATATCACTCTATTGTTTCCAAGTGTCATAGGCGTGGCAAAGGACCGGTCTAGAGTAGTTGCAGCCACTGTTATGATCCAAGGAGCCAAGTTTATAACGGTCTGAGCCGCTGGACCAGCGTTACCACCCGCACAAACAACTGTAATACCCTTTAAGACACCATGAAATGCGCCAGTAGATATCGCATCGCGAACATCAGTTTCTGCGAACAGAGGTTCATAGCCTAAAGATAGAGACAGAACATCAACACCATCATGAATAGCCTCGTCCATTGCTTTCAAAATGTCGGCGGATGAACAAAGCGTTGAGTCTAGATCATCCAGATACCAACAAGTCTTGTACACTGCTATATGAGCACGCGGCGCCCCACCTCTCACAGTCCCTCCAGCTAGTCCCTTGTAGCTTGTATTGGGAACGTACGAACCGCCCGCGATGGTTGCCACATGTGTGCCATGACCATTATAGGCTCTAGGGGAAATGAAGTCAAGTGATTCTGTGAAGTTGAAGCTTTCGTGCTCTGAAAGAAAACCGTTGATGAAGTACTTTGCTCCTATGAGTTTTTTGTTGCAGTGAGAAGAGTCGAAATTCTCTCCTGATTCACAGCCACCTTTCCAGTGGCTCGGCACCGGTCCAATCCCATTGTCGTTAAATACTTGAGATTCTGGCCAAACTCCTGCATCCGCACAAAACAGATTAGTCTTGAGACGCTAAAAACAGAGCCAAAACAGGAAACCTAAGATCAATCTACACTATAATGAGGAAGAAAATGTAAAAAATATACCTGTGTCAATTAAGCCGATGATCATTTGTTCACCCAAATTTGTATCATTTAGAAGATTCTTCGGATTGACGGTCGAGACTCCTAAGTAGTCCCAAGTCCGAGTTGTTGCTAGCTTGTAGAATCTATCCGGTATGACATGAACAACTTCAGGTAAATCTGTTTGCCAAAGAGAATTAGCAATGAAAAAAATCAGATTTGCTTGTTGAAACAGTCAATATGTTAGGACTTAGTACCTGCTATTTTCTTGGCTTGGGAATTGGTGAGCTTGGCCGCGAAACCTGAGAAGCCATGTCGGAAACTGTGCACCATTGCATCATGTGCATCCTCTTTACTGTAACATGAATGATGAAGCCAAAGCAAGAACCATGAGTATACAAATTGAGAAATTATATAACAAGGGAGAAGCTACTCTTACATACCACATACCTTCCAAGAATTGACCATAACATTTGATGATGAGATTGCGTGACAAACTCGGGATCATCATGCTGCTTCTCACCTAAATACACTATATGAACCTATTGATTATCAAAACAGATCCAAATGTGTTAGTCAATTGGACATGTTGCCTGGTAAAAAAAGAAAGAGCTTTTACGATTTTCGAGTACCTTGCTCTCAGCACTAGCTGCTCCTGCCACGAAACTGCTAAACGCATTGAGAACTATTACAAGGCTTAATACCACAAGAATTGATGTTTTGTGATTCTTCATTCCAAGAGTAAAAGAAAATTCCATTTTTCAATTTCAAGCCTCAAAGAGAGAGAGTTGTAGTGCTTAAACTTTGAAGTGTAAGC